AGGGCCTGGGGGCCAGGGCGGGCTGGCTGCCTCACAAGGACAGCGGGAAGGCAGCAGCTGAAGCCTAGGACGGTCGCCCACATGGTGGTTTCCTGCACGTTACAGAAGCTCCTCGGTTTGCTGTGTCTCCCTCACTGGACTCTACGTGAAATCTCATTGTGAAATGTTGGCCACTAGTCCAAAAGGTAAAAGAAATAAATTACTGGGAGCTGTAGTTATGCAAGATGTGGTCCTGGGAGAACTGGAGGAAACCAGGGGGAACTGTGGGACCTGGGGGGAACTGGGCGAAGGCTCTCTCTGTAGCAGCCCCCTTACCTGTGGGCAATGGGACCCGAGACCCTGTGGATGCCTGAGAGCATGGATAATGCCAAACCCCATGTGTGCTGTGCTTTTCCCGTCCATACCGGCCTGTGGTGAAGTTTAATGCAAACCTGGGCTCAGAGACTGACAATAACTAAGAAAATGGAGCAGTCACCACCATGCGCTGTGATGCGCCCTGTGAGCGCTCTCTTGTGGTGAGGCGTTTGCAGTTTGAGGTGCGACAGCCAAGCCAGCGCTGATGTCTCTGTCCTTCGCAACTTCAGGGCCGGGAGGCCCATCTGGCCTGGCCCTCAGCACCTCAGCCTGGCTGTCCTCTCCTCATCACGTCGGGACTCCCACCTTCTCGCTGAGCAGCTCTTCCCGCCTCTCCGCATCTTTGGGGCCGTCAGCAGGCAAAACGGGGTGACGAGCACGAGCACCTCCAGGCCCCCCGGGGGCCTGACACCCAGGGGGCGTGACTGCAGCGGGGACGCGGACACAGGACCAGTTACGTGGACATCGCGAGACTTCATCACAGCTACTCAGAGCAACTGCAACTTGTTTATTTCTGGAATTTTCCATTTGGTATTTTATGGCTGCTGATGGTCTAAAACCATGGGAGGCAGAACTGTAACGTGTTTGCCACTTTGCATGACTATATAACAAGCGAAATGAATGACGTGGGCAGAACTACCATGGAGGGGAGGCTTGGTCGCACAGCCAACAGCGTGGAGACTCTGGTTTGAAGGAACCGGCGCTCCCGTTGAGTCAAGGCCACCAGCCCTGTGGCCCCCATCCTGGTCCTGAGGCCGGGACAGGGCGGGGGAGGTGGGCCCGAGCCTGGGAACAGCAGAGGCAGGCTGTGTGTGTGTGTGTGTGTGTGTGTGTGTGTGTGTGTGTGTGTGTGTCTGTGTGTGTGGCGGGGAGGGGGGGGGTGTCTGATTGCTGCACTGATTTCTATTGCTGCTAATAAATGCCATAAACTTAGTGGCTGAACATGACACCCACTTACAGTCTCAGTTCCCTGGCTCAGGAGCACAGGCGGGTCAGGGGTGAACCTAGGGGCCGGGGCCCATCTTCAGGGGCTTCCTCAGGCCACTGGTTTGGGGGGTGCTTGCTTTTTCTAGATGTTGACTGGGGACCACTCTCAGGTCCCAGAGGTGGCTCTCACGTCCTTGCCCTGTGACCCTTCACCTTACAATGTGGCATCTGCTTCTTCCTGGCCTCCAGGAAGGTGTCTTGGCCACGAGGGAGCCTCTAGTAAGGCAATGTCAGCACTGGAGTGGCCGGCCCATCACAGGCACAGCGGCTGCCCGCACTCAGGAAGACAGACAAGGCGTGTGGCCCTGGACCATGTGACAAGTTTGCCTCCCCCCCCTCACCGTCCCTCATGCTTCTTCCATAGTGTCCCTGTGAAGCCCCATCCCCTTCGTCTTCCCAGCAGGTCTGCCTTGGGTTTCCATCCTCAGGCCCTGGTGTCACCGCACTCCCTCCCCCTCCGCCCCCCAGCAGAGCATGGTGGAGGTGATGGAGAGCCAGGACTCCTGTGACCCTACAGTTCGAGGAAGCCTTCTGCCAGCTGCCTTGGACACATCCCATGGCCACTGCAGTGACCGCCGGAGCCAGGAGCCTGGAGCATTGGAAGATGCGTTTACCCTCTAACAGCAGGAGTGGGGAGCCTGGGGGCGCTCTAGCTCCTATGTCTCTCTCTCATGCATTTCTGTGTGAAAACATCGCATGACACTGACTGGGCTGAGGGGCAGGATTTCCTAGGCACAATGTGTCCTGCAGAGCAGGGTGTTAAGCTGGAGAGGCTTGGGGTCACTCTCTGTTATCCTCACCCCGAGGCATTTCCCATTGATGTTTAGAGAGAGGGGAAGGGAGGGGGAGAGACAGAGAAACATGGATTGAGAGAGACACATCAATTGGTTGACTCCCTCATGCGCCCTGACCGGGCAGGGGATCAAGCCAGCAACTGAGGTATGAGCTCTTGTCCGGAATCGAACCCAGGACCCTTCAGTCCGCAGGCCTGTGCTTTTCCTGGTTGTGAACATAATATGTGAGGTTAGCATGTGGAAGGAGGTGGCAAGCTTCTCCTATAAAGGGCTGGTTAGTAAACATTTTCAGCTCCTGGGTCATTGCGGTTTCTGTGCAATAATTGAGTCCATCACTCAGTGCAAAAGCAGCCACGGGCGATATGTGAATGGTGGGAGTGGTGTCTACTAATGAGCAGTTATGGGCACTCAAATTTGAATTTCATATCCTGAAATATTACTCATTCTTTGATCCCCCCCATTAAAAAAAACATAGAAACTACATTTACCTTCAGGGCCCAAAGCAGGTTGGCTTTGGCCTGTGAGTCATGCTTTTTTGGTGACCACCGGCTTTTAATTTTTATTAAAAATATTTTTATTGATTTCAGGGAGGAAGGGAAAGGGAGAGAGAGATAGAACATCAATGATGAGAGAGAATCATTGATCTTGCATGCCCCACACTAGGGAGAGAGCTTACAACCCAGGCATGTGTCCTGATGGGAATCGAACCATGACCTCCTGGTTCACAGGTCCACACTTAACCTCTGAACCACAGCCTCCTGGGAAGGCACATGGACATTCTTTAAATGGTCAGCTGAGCCCGAGGCACTGGCAGAATCCGTGTCCTCGGTTCCCCCCCCCCCCCCCAAGGCCGGAGGGGGGGTGATGGTGTTATTCAGTTTCTGACTTACCTTTGTCTAGGTGTCAGCAGGGGTGGGGCTAGATATGTAAATCCAATAATGCTAGGGCCTACTTAAGAATGCAAATAAGCTCCTTTGATCCTAAGTTTTTGGTGCTATTTCCTGGGTTTTTGGGATATAAAATAAACCTGCTTCGTGGCTCAGGGGCTTGCTGCCTCTCCATCAGAGAGAATGGCGCCCACCTAGGTCCCAGCCCTATGAATCTATTTCTGCCTCTGGTCTGTCTCTTTCTTTAATTTCTTAATCCCCAGCTCCTCCCCTCAGCAACAGGACTGTTTCCTTTTCCATGATGGAGATAGATGCGGAAAAGAGAGAAACACCCCCCACAAACCATGCCAGGTGGGCATCACTGGCTTTTTAGATGGTCTCTATTTTAATCTAAAATCTGCCCCATGTTGAGCAGAAGCCGGTTTGGCTCAGTGGATGGAGCGTCGGCCTGCGGACTGAAAGGTCCCAGGTTCGATTCCTGTCAGGGGCATGTGCCTTGGTTGCAGGCACATCCCCAGTAGGGGGTATGAAGGAGGCAGCTGGTCGATGTTTCTCTCTTATCGATGTTTCTAGCTCTCTATCCCTCTCCCTTCCTCTCTGTGAAATATCAATAAAATATATTAAAAAAATAAAATAAAATCTGCCCCATATTGAATTCATAGGCTAAAGCCAAAGCATTTTTAGCTTATCTGAGTTTCTTCAGTGTCCTGTGAAAATAACTCAGAGTCTCATTTGATTGAAAACAGTGAGAACCCAGAATTAATCTCAGCTCCTTCTGTTCTCCCCTATCCTGTAAGTTGCGGTCAAGTGTTCAGGGACCACTTTTCAAAGTGAGTAACATTGACAAGAGGGAGCAGACAGGCAGCTTTCATTAGAGCCCTAACTCCTACACTCACGTGGGACAGATGCCGAAGATGTTGCTCAAGCAGTGGGAATGAATTTTTTTGGGGGGCAAAATATATTTTTATTAATTATTAGAGAGAGAGGACAGGAGATGGGGAGAGTGAAAAACACCTTCAAATGGCTGCCAACCAGGGACTGAACCCACAACCTGGATACGTGCCCTGACCAGGAATGGACCTGGTGACCTTTGGGTGCACAGGAGGACGTCCAGCCGAGCCACACCAGCCAGGGCGGACTTCCCCTTCTGTAGCTGGGAAGGAAGGTGGAAGGAAGGGAATGGCCCTAGTCCTCAGCTGCTCCTCTAGCCCTGTACGACGTGTCTGTGAACCGTCAGGGCGGCCATAAGCTAATTTAACAGCCGCATTAAGCAAGTGTACTTCCCATTGGCCATATTAGCATGCCAAAACATCCATATTTTAATAGGTATAATAAAGAACATTCATAGCAAGTAACTAACAAAGCCCTGGTTAGTATGAATCAACTCTCCATTTTCTTAATCCAATTAGACATATGTAACTGCTAATTGGTAGAAGGCAATCAATGCATCATGAGCTGAAATGAATAAGACTTTTGGGGTAAGAAAATCAAGTAAGTGATTCTAGAAACCATTATCTGCCTCTCTCTCTCTCTCTCTCCTCTCTTTCTCTTTCTCTTCTCTCTCTCACATACACATACTCACACACCCCTTATTCAATCATTTTTTAAACCCATAATTAAAGTTGTCCTTTTTAATGTAATCAATTACAAAGGTAATCAGTTCCATCATTTGCACAAATAATAGCTAATATAAAGACAGCAACTATGGAAATGAGATTAACATCCCAAATTTCCCAAACCTTGTCCACGGGGCCAGGGTTCTCACCACCACAACCCTAGGGGAAGCGAGAAAGGCACAAAAACCAAAACCTTAATGGCCACGGCCATGGCTACTGGTCTCACATTTATTTTTTTTCAGGTTTAACCAAAGAGGGGGAAATATCTCAGATTTGAGATTTTTCTTCAGAACAGTTTTATTGGTTTGCATAGGGTGCGCCTACCCTCGACTTTGCTGTCCTTCTCTGACACACACATCCATTTATTCGCACTCTTCTTCACCCCATATCTCATAGATGGTAACATTGCTATGTGGGCCTATGGGCCTCTCAAAGTTCTGCACCTTGTGTTCACTGGCAGTTACCATGGCGATTTTCAGATTCCGCACCTTGGACATGAGGTGCACGAGGTCCATCTCAAGTTGGTTTAAGGTGTGGAGAGCGTAGTTTTTGCTGGGGCACGCACCCTGGTTCTTCTTCGGTGCAGCACGAACCGGAGAGCCTCGAGGGCTAGGAAGGATCTTTCCCTGCCAACAAAGAGGTGCGGGTGAATAACACCCTCAGCTTTGGGCACGTGGACACAGGTCCAGGGGAGGTGGGCTCACCTAAGAGGAGACGGTTCTAGCGTTGCTCGAATCCAGGGGCTGGCAAACAGTATTGCCCAAGGGCCAACCTGTTATTGTATAATAAATGAAGTTGTACTGGAACACAGCCCTGCTTGGTCACACACATACTGTCTAGGGCTGCTTTCAGACTAAAGCGGCAGAGTGGAGTCACTCAGTGCTGGTGCCTGGGCCTCCACAGAGAGGCTGGCCAGCCCCCGCTGGTTGGTTTGGACACAGCCCGGGGAGGCATGGGGTTCGTCTGGTAGAGAATAAGCTGCCATTTTCCATCTCTTTCCCCACCTTGGAGACAATTGCAGCTGTAGGCAGGGGCTGCCACCTTTTCACACCTCTATCCCTTTAGGAAGGTCTCTACCTTTACTGGCGACAATGCTATCAATTGCATTTGACACAGCAACTTGTAATAAGTCAAACGCTAGGGACATTAACTCTCGGGTAGCAAATCTGGCTCTGTGAATAATTTCCACTCAAATATGCCAAGTTCTTGAATCTATCCTCATTGAACAAACTCATTGAACAGGCTGAATATCAAGCAAAGGTTTCCTTCACCCAGTAAACAGAAGGTGGTCTCCAGTGTGGCCCCAGCCTCGGTGGGTCTGAGGCTACATCAGGAAAGGACTGGCCAGCGTCTCCCAGGACTGAGGTGGCTACTTTGCATTAAAATCCCTTCTACTCTGCCGGGACCAGTTTGGCTCAATGGATAGAGCGTCGGGTTTGGGACTGAAGGGTCCCGGGTTCGATTCTGATCAAGGGCATGTACCTTGGTTGCGGGCATATCCCCAGTAGGGGGTGTGCAAGAGGCAGCTGATAGATGACTCTCTCTCATCAAGGTTTCTAACTCTGTATCTCTCTCCCTTCCTCTCTGTTCAAAAATCAATAAAATATATTAAAAAAAAATAATAAAATCCCTTCTACTCAACCGTCCTGCCTGTACCACCTCCATGTCTTGGAGTCTGAGATTTCTTTTCTTTTCTTTTTTCTTTTTTTTAATATATTTTATTGATTTTTTTACAGAGAGGAAGGGAGAGAAATAGAGAGCCAGAAACGTCGATGAGAGAGAAACATCAACCAGCTGCCTCCCGCACACCCCCCACCGGGGACGTGCCCGCAACCAATGTACATGCCCTTGACTGGAATCGAACCTGGGACCCTTCAGTCCGCAGACCGACGCTCTACCACTGAGCCAAACCAGCTTCGGCGGAGTCTGAGATTTCTGAGGTGGCAGCAACATGGGATAAAGAATGGAGCCGTCCTTACCTTATTCTTCTCAATATCTCTTCGATACTTGAGAATTACATACAGCAGAATAATAAAAAAGAACCAGAGCCACTTGCTGACGAGCCAGCTTGGGGCGTGGACTGGTAGGTTCTGCCTAATCCGGAAGTGCCCTCCGCAAGGCACCTTCCCGGGGGGCTCTTTGACATTCTCCCTCAGAGAAGAAAACATAAAGGCGTAGCCGCAAGACAGGCACATGGGCAGGAACAAGGTCCATCTCAAGGTCCGCATGGTGAGCAGAGGTGGGGGAGGAGGCTTTCATGGTGCCCTCGCACCCGGACTCTGAGTGCTGGGCTGAGATGGGTTGATGTCACAGAGGCCCCAGCCAGGAGCAGCTCGGGCCATTGTGATGGCGGCAGGGAGGCCAGTGAGGGCAGGGTCCGTCGGAGGATGTAGGGAGCAGGTGGCATTCCCAGCAGGCAATCAACAAGAGAGGGTGGATGGTGGTTGCCATGCCCTTGCCAGCCTTTCTGACGCCCTGGTGCTGAGCTGGCTGAGGCCTGCTTTTGTTTGTGTTTCATTTAAGTCCAGATGCTGTGTCAAATGCGTGGCATGTGACCCTGCGGAGCTGAGCCCAGTGAGAAAGACATTAAACCAGAGGCTCCCTGGCCAGGCGCTCAGTGGTTGGAGTGTCGTCCTACACACCAAAGGTTGAGGGTCAGGGCACATACTTAGGTTGTGGGTTCGATGCCTGGTCAGGGTGCGTACGGGAGGCAACTGATGGATGTTTCTGTCACACATTGATGTTTCTTTCCTTTTCCAATCAATAAAAACATATCCTTAGGTGAGGACTAAAAACAAAAATTAAACCAAAGGCTGTCTTACATTGTTTCTAAAAATAATTATTTGCAGGATTTAATGTTGGGATTGGGGGTTCTTTTTAGAACCTAGATTTCTGGCTCCGTTTGAAAACGTGTGAGATCTGAAAACACTGGTCCCAGGAGGAATGCCCTCTCCAGCCCTCCCGTCCCCAGGAAAGCTTTCCTGAAAAAGGCATTTGGGTGGAGTTTGAAGGATCATCAGGAGGGAACTGGCACGTAGACAGGGAGGTGAGCACAGTCCGAAGGCAGCAGGCGGAGGCCAGGAGTATAGCTAAGGCCCACTGGCCAGTGAATGACACACAATGGAAGAGCCATGAACGGAACACAAGGCTTGTCCCTGTCCCCTGGGTCATCTGACTCGCTTATTCCCCAGGAACCAACGTTCTGCTGAATGTGATCAAGGGTCCACCGGGAGCTTCAAGCTGTGCTGAGCTCTGGGCAGTGACAAAGGTTCTGCAAGACCGCCTGGAACCAAAGGGGCCGGGGAGCCGGACTGTGCCGTCCAGATGCTCCCCAGGGCAGTGTGCTGCCTGCAGAGGGGACTCTCCTGCAGGAGACACCTGGCAGCTGGGAGGCAGCTGGCCTGGTCTCTGGCTGCGGCTGGAGGGTGCCCGTGATCTTCAGGGGCTCATCCCTGCCAGCTTGTCTGTCCCTAGTCCCTCCTCACACAGCTCCTGTGGGAGAGGTGTTCCCGTGCTCTGGGCCACACCTGGGGAGTATTCTGAGGTGCCCCCAGGTGTGTGTACCCCACGTTATCCACCCCTCATGGAACTCTCACATTTGGTGGTTAGGGGGACCGCACTAAGGGACAAACAGCCTTGATTTAGAGATGACCCAAACCACAGAAACGCTCAGGAAGTTTTGTCCCACGTTGAGTTTTATTACTTGGAAATGTTTATATAGAGTATTTAGAGACAGGAATTGACGCAACACCGTGGAGTTAGTCCTGATGCTCACCTTTCTTATAAAACGTAGTGGGAGGCAGAACAGAAATACAGACCGACGAGAGGAAAGGCAGACTTTGTCTACTTTTGTATCAAATGCCAGGTGCCCAACTTGATCTCTTCTATCTTCCAAGAAGTGGTAACTGTAGGGAGCAGCTCTCAGGCCAACCCTCGGTGACCTGGGGCAGAGCCACAAACAAGTCCCAGCCTGGAGGGCAGAGCTCTCCCGGCATCTTTAAGCCTCACCCTGTAGCCTCCCTGATTCCTTTAAGCAGCTAATGGGCTGTGGGAGGTGCAGCAAGTGTTGCCAAAATAAGAACATTTGTATACCCGTTACTCCACCCTTGTTTTAATGAGACTATAAAACGAAGCATCGGCTTGCAGGCTGGGTCTTTTGTGTCCTCACCCAGGTACAGGAGATCCACCGAGCCCCAGCTGTATTCTCGCCTGTCTTTTCTTCAATCCTTCACTGCCCCCCCTCAGGTTCACCCTTGGCCATTCGGGCCCAGCATAATGAACTAGGGATGCCCCTCCCCCAACATTCGGCCAGAGTCCTGGCCTCTCAGTGCTCCTGCAAACACCTGCAGGCAGAGTGTGGCCAAAGCTCCGCCCTTCTATATAATTCACTGCTGGCAGCAAAAACGTGGGATTTTAGTAAAAATGAGCCACGCACACACCCACAAGGCATCTGGAATCTTTAATGGTTTCCAGCATACGAAGTGCAGCAGGCACAGCATGAGGGCCAGGACGGAGCACTAAGCCGGGAGAGGGTAGCGGCCACTGTGTGCGAGTCACCTATGTGCCTCAGAGGCAGGAGTGGCCACACCGGCACCGAGGTTGGGGACACTTTAATGACATGGTGCAGGCCCACTGCCCAGGCAGCGCCCTCACGCCTGCCTCCAGGAGCTGGACGGAGCCTGCATGGGCGCGGGCGCAGCCTGGGCTCAGAAGCAGTAGGACGTGTGGGTGACCCAGTGGGCCGACTCCTCCTTGGAGCGCTTGGCGGAGCTGTGGGTCGTGAAGAGGGACTTGTAAGCCTCGGACTCCTCGCTCTGGGCGATGGACCTCTTCGTGGCGCCACAGGGAGGCTTCCCGGCTTTCCCAGAGGAGCTCCCGCTAGCTGCTGGGAAAAGGAAAAGCCAGACGCTTTACGGCTGGAACTAAAGATCATTCCAAACACCACATTCCCAAAGGGAGAATAGTAAGCCTGCTCCTCCCGGGAACCTTCCTCCTCCTCCCTTTATCATCTGTCACCACCTCCTAGAGACATAGCCACAATGTTGAAAATCATACTAACTACTTAACTACTTGCCACGTGCCCACACGGACCCAGCTCCGGGGCTGACATGTCAGACCCTCCTCATGAGGGGTGGGATGGCCTGTTTTGCAGTTGAATCAGAGGCAATAGGGGCTGAGTGAGCTCCCTGCCGGGGGCTGCTACATGGGGAGCAGGGATCGAAACCCATAACCACTGTGGCTGCAATCACAACATGAGGCCATACATTCTCACAACCAATCTGTGTTTTCCTTTTTGTGAAATAAATACGGTTTTGTTTTTTAGTTACAGGTAACAGGTTTCAGGAGAAATGCGCTGAATTCTGGACTATATGTTGAGTGACTTTTAGGACTTGGCTGAGAGGCAGGTGGGGAGGGAAGCTCTGAGCACCTTGTGGGGTGCACATAAACCCAGCCCCCACCCCACACTGAGCCCAGCCCTTTATCCCGTCTCTGGGATGTGCAGGCCCAGGTCTGGCAGCCCCGTGAGCCTGGACCAAGTGCACGCTCCACAGGCCAAGTGAGCGCCTGCGCTTGTGCCCAGGCCCGTCCATCCTGACAGAGACTCCCGCTCTGGGGTCTGATAAGTGTTTCTAGTCCCCAAGAGAGCTCAGTGCACGACCCAGACAGGCCTTAGGATGAACCTCAGTTTCTCAGTTCCGGCCAAGAAAGCTGTGACGTGACCCAGGGCCCAGTCTTCAGAGCAGCCGCTGCGGGCTCCGTGGGACCCACCTGTGCTTCTGGGAGCCGGGCCCACTTTCTTCTCCCGGGAGTCAAGGCTGGAGGCCTCCGGCTTTCCCGTGTTCATTCCCGACGGCCCCGCGGACTCTGTAAGAGAAGCAAAGTAAGAGAAGCAGGCCAGCAGGGCACGAAGGCCGCCCCTCAGCCCGCTGTGGTGAGCACCTACCTTCACCGGCAGCCGGGTGCGAGACAGACTCTGCCGCCTTGGGCTTCTTTGCTTTCTAGAGGGAGAGGAAGGGGAGATGCACCGAGTTCCCTCCATAGTGGCCTCCACAGGCCGCCCCTCACCCCTCAGCCTCATGCCAGGCCATGGTGCCCTCACGGCGGGGCTCATTTGAAGACACCCCAGGCACCCATTTTTCCAGACCCAGACCCCTGCGCATATCTCCAGTCATGCACTTTGCCTCACTCAAGAACACATAGTAGAGATCTGCCTACGTGTACGTTCCAGAAATCACATTCGCAACATTTCTAAGGCAGATGCCGGCTTTCAGGGTAAGTCAGAGTGAGTGGTGACTGCTGTCCACAAAGAGCAGCTAACCTAACGGGACCCACCGGACAAGCACTCGCAGGGTGTCTCAGGCGCTCACACCGCCGTCCTGTTTGCTCTCGGCCCAGGAGGGCTGAGGCTGTGCTGAAGGACACTGGGCCGGTCCTCCTCGCCTCGGGATTACTGCCATTAAGATTTTTAGGCACTAAGATTAATTTTTAAAATGAAATGAACCATTCTAAAGCCACATGGCTGTGCTAGAACTGATTCAATCATAGAAGGAGAAACAGGACCTTGTTCATTAAGAGAATTTCCTTTAAAAATGCAATTTCCCTAAGTAGCCAAAAGATGGCGCTACAGACACACAGCCTAAGCATCACGGAAGGTTCTCCTCACTAGGCAATCTGGGAAAGGAACTTACTTGGGCAGGAGCCTGAACTTATAATACACATGTGGCATGTGATCTGTAACAGGGTATAAGACGTGAACACCTCTGCTCACTTCAAAGCAACATTAACCCGAGGATAACAGAGGATAACAGGAGGATAACGGCGAGGCCTTCCAGAGAGAGGCAGCTGCTGAGCTCTGAGCCTGGCTCAGCAGAGCTCAGGTGAAGGGGAGCAGTTGCTACATGCCTCCTGCTGGAGTGCCCAGCAGCAGTAACCGAGAGGCGTTCCCAGAGTGCCATGGGCACCTTTCGGAGAGGGCACCTGCGTCCCCAGGAGGCCTGGGACAGACGGTGACAACTCACTGAAGTGTTGGCCACCACTCGGACATCTCGGGGCTCGGCGCCCTCTGGAGCACCGGGGCGAGGAAGGCGAGGGCAGCTCCCGGTGCTCCAGGCGCTGGTGGAGGGGCTGCCCCTGGGGCTGGGGTGGGCACAGGCTCCTGGGGGCCCAGGTGGCTCCTGGACACTCAGATCTGAGCAGTGGGCTCTTCGGATGTGCTGGGTGGCAGAGATTGTCCTTGATTTCACTAGTTATGAGCGCTGGTTCCCGGACCCCACAGGGCCCCAAATCCAAGGACACTCAAGTCCTTTACACAAATTCATTTATAGAAAGAGCACTTACGTGTGTCCTACATGAGCAGAGGCTACGGCAGGGGTGCCTACACATCGCTTCACTCCTGTGGATCCAGCACAGTGCTCCGTGTGCAGCCAATTAAAGCTCTGCTTTTTGGCACTTTCTGGGATCATCTCTGCGCCCCCCTCCCGGAATATTTCTGATTTCTGGTTGGTTGAATCCCGTGATGAAAACCCACCAATACGGAGGGCTGACCACTCTCTTCTAAAAACCAGTGAGAGCAGCAATCCTGATGGCTCACTGCCACCCTCCCGAACGCTCACCCCCGACAGGCCCCACTCCCACCCCATCCCCCCCCAGAAAGGTCCTCTCCCACCCCGCCCCACCCCACCCCACCCCGCCCCAGACAGGAAGGCCCTGCTCTGGGCCTGTGCACTCACTGGAGACACTGAGCGAGGAATAGAAGCACAGTGCCCACCCGCAGTATGGGGTTGGAAGAGCAGGCTGGACTGTCCAGAGCCCAGGCCCTGCCAGGTTGTAAAAAGGCCTCAGGTCCTGCCAACCCCCAGTAGCCACTGCGAGGCAGAGGAGCAGGGGAGGGACACACAGGCTTACCTTCCCCAGCTTCGCTCTCAGCCTCCTCTCCTCCATCCTGCTCCTGAGAGTGTCCACGTCCGCCTTGCTGCCATTAAGCACGATGACGTCATCCTCCTGGAAGGCGGCCCCGCACTGGAGAGAGCCAGACAGACAGAGTCCATGACCAGGGCAGCCGCCCCTCCGCCCCTCAGCCAGCCACCGCCGCTGTGGCCCGGGGAGATGCCCGCGGTCCCGCCTGCACCAGTGGCTTAGCCAGCCCCATGCCTGCCTTCGCTGGCGATTTCTGTGGTCTGTCTCTGACCATCACTCGGGGTCAGCTCCTCCTCTAGGGTGGGTCTGGTACATTCTCATGGCTGAAAACACTGTCCTTTGACCCACAATACTGAGGTCGGTGCCACAGAGAAGGCATAAGAATAATGACACCACTAGCCAGTTGCTCAGTGGATAGAGCCTGCAGACTGAAGGGTCCCAGGTTTGATTCCGGTTGTGGGCACATGCCTGGGTTGCAGACTCGATCCCCAGTGAGGAGAGGGCAGGAGGCAGTCGATCAATGATTCTCATCACTGATGTTTCTATCTCTCTCCCCCTCTCCCTTCCTCTCTGAAATTAATAAAAGTATATTTAAAAAAGAAAAGAAAAAAAAAAAAAAGAACAATGTCAGGGTCCCAATACGGCATCCAGCCAGGACTGCCTGGAAGGAAGGGAGCCTTTTCTCGCCATCACGCAGGGAGGCCTACGGGAGGGACAGACTGTCCGGCGGAAGGAGGCCCGGGGATGCCCACACTGAGGGAGACGGGGCAGAGCCTTCTGCTGGGGGTGTCCTCCGTGGAGAGGGAACGAGAGGGACCTGCAGGAACAGAGTCAGGCGCACTACGGCCCCAGGGGCTGGGCTGGGCTGGGCGTCAGGAGGCCTCCTGAGAACAAGCGTTAGGTGTCCTTTGGTTCTGTCAGCCCGCACTCTCCCTCCCTGGCCGCTCAGCTTCCTGTGGCTTCCTCCCCGCACCCTGTGATGCCCCATTCCAGGCTGAGGAACAGGGACAGTGATGAGCCGGGAACCAATGCCTTCCAAGTATTCCACGCTTGAATGGAGAATTACAATGCACACAATTCCATCTGACATCACTTCTGCTACTGGAGAGATTCTAGCGCTGCAAAAGGTAATGGAGTGCACCCCACCCTAACGGTAACGGTGATTACTGCTGCTGAGTCTACAGCACTGCTTGGACTCCTGTCTTCAGGGGACTGAGTGCCTAGTCTTTGAATCGTTGTTCATGCTTGGAAGCCATTTAATTGTCCTGTGTGCAGCAGAGGCTGCTGCGTGGAGGTAAGGGATTATCTACATGCAGGGGTGTAAGGAATGGCAGTCCCCCCAAAGCCCGGTGTGCTCTCCCTCACACACATTACTTTGGAAACCACCTGTGATTTCAGTGACACACAAGGAGCAGGGACACGGATAGAGACTGGGGTCTGGTGGACAGAGATCCTATCTGCTCTGTAACATGAGAACTGCCACTCTCTCCAGCCTTTAAAATACGTAAATATTCCGAACAGAACTTCCTGCGGAGCAAAACAGTAGTGCCAACACCAAGAAGACTGTACTTTTCTATGAGCTACGCATTCTCACCTGGAGAATAACACTTAACTTTCTTAGAAATGAATTCAGCGACAGAGAGTCACACATTTAACACACTTTCACTATGGCTACAAAGCTGACTCCACAAGACGGACACAAACACTACCACCACTACCACCACCACCACCACCACCACCACCACCACCACCAGGCATCAGCGCTAGGGAAGGTTTGCAGACGGAGTGCTGCTCACCGCATTTACAAGGGAAACCGCCGGGCCCTGCAGAGTGGCCTCCGCGGGAACTTCCCCCCTGCCAGCCGCCTGTGCCACAGCAGCGAGCCCGAGGCCTCAGCCCGAGGCCGGCCTGACTCGCCTGAAACGCTGGCGGAGGCAATGACAACAGAGCTGCTATTCTATCGTGCACTTATTTCTAAATGTCAGCGTGACCCTAAGCCGGACTGTGGACACAGCACTAACAGAACTGAGGGGAGGGGGCAGGCTAGCACCCCACCGCCACGTGCCTGTCTCTATCAGGGAGCAAAACACACTCAGCCCACAGGAGTGCGCTACTCACGAGCCATCACTGAAACCACTGAAAACACCCAATTCCCTGGGCTCTGGGATTACATGGTGGGAGGTGTCAGTGAAGTGGGGCTAACACTTCTGTGGTGGGACCCGAATGTTTTACATTGGCCGCCAGCTTAAAAGAAACCCAAGACAACAAACCAAAAACCCTCTGAGCCTCTCTCCACACAGAAGCTACCATACAGGACAAACGTAACAAGTGACAGCACGTGGCGAGGTGTGAGCACGGCCTGTCTGGGTGGGGTGCAGCTTCTCAGAGCTATTTACGTACCTCAAAATATTTACTTATCCACACTGGTGAAAAGCCCCAAAGAAGCAGAAGGCTGCTGTGCACACCCTGGTGAACTGTTCTGAAAATATTTTCACTTCACTGGAGAGCAAGAAGGTGGCTCCCCCTGGCTTTATAAGGTTTGATCTCAGGGTCTGAAGTTAGCTGAGCGCCTTGTGCCCAAACTACCCGGCTGCCTTTGTTCCCTCTCCAGGGCAAGCACATTAAATGGAGCCCTAGAAAATCCTAAATGCAAATATTTGGAAGGTTCTCCATACACTTAATAAACTAGTGAATCCTGCTAGTGCTGGGCATGGTGTGAGGGGCTCCTTAAGAATAAAAATCAGTACTAAATGTTTTGGTGGCAGTATGAGAGCTGAGAGAGGCTCTCTGAGAGGCCTGGGGAAGCAGCCCCTGCCCCCTCACTGCAAGTGGTCTTCCTTTCTCTCTGTGGAAAGCTGGCTGGCTCCTCTGGGCCCTGGCTTCTGCTTGAACAGTTAAGCTCTTCAGTCCAGATGACAGCACAATCAACGAGTCCAGCAGAAACCGCTAGGGACCTTTTCATAATCTCTCATGTCCACAGAACATCCCATTTTCAAATCACCTCGAAGGGTTTAGAGAGAAACAGAATCCAAAAATCCCAACATAATCATGAAGAACACGCTGTAACCACGAAGTCATTACCAGAGACAGAGAAAGGGCCGGGAGTAAAATCTAGGTGTGAAGAGTGAGGCAGCAGTGCACGCCAGCACCCCTGCCAGGGCAGCGCCCACCGCGCCCCGAGGCCAGCGAGGCGGGGCTTGGCTGCTGCGTGGAGCGTGTGGGATCTAGAGAAGGTGAAGGTGAAGTGCAGGAGCAGTGTGCCGACAGACGGGGACCTGGCCCAGGCCCACGGCGCGTCTGCTTCTTTCCCCACAGGCGCCAGAGCCACACCGAACGCTGGCTGGGAAGGCAACATTCAAAACACCAAGTGGAGGAATGAGGAGGGAAATGTCCCTGATGGACGTAAAGGTAAAACGGAGATAAAACCAAACAAAGCCTTCACATTTTACCAAAGCTAGCCAGCCGCTGCCTGGGTGACGGAGGTGGAGACCAACACTCACACTGAAAGTATTCGGGATTAGTGGTGATCCAACTGGCATGTTTAAAAACAGGTTTTTAAAAAACCGTTTATTTCTGGAAATGAGCTCTGTGTCTTCCCAGGTCTCCATTAGAACAGAAAACTGAACACAGGCACTGCTCCAGAGGGGGCCAGCACTGCCTGCTGCGGGCTCCCCGGGCTTGCTTCTATGAATGAAGTTTATTGAACAGCCACGCCCACTCGCTGTATTAATAGGACAACGAAGGGCAGGGTCCCCAGTTTTCCGACTCAGTGGGCTTCACACCCGCTCTGTGTGCACAAGGAACTGGAACCTTTATTACAGGGTTAATTGTTGCAAAGGTGTATTTTTCAACCTACTGTAAATTGTATATGTGCTTTGACTAGTTTACCATTGACACCCTGCAGCCACAGATATAATTCAGCTCAATCAACTCACAGTAACCTCTGTCATATTGTCAAACCTGGCAAAGGCAGTTCCCATGGCCAAGCTCATTGAGCTGAAGACTGACTTTCTAAAAAACCCAGACGCATATAGATTCAAATAAATGTTTTAATATGTACCCTTGTAGCAACCTTCTAGTAATGAAACCTTGATTTTAATGTCCTTAGATAAGGCCAGACCCCCCCCCCCCCCCCCATCCCCCAAGTTCTTAAACAGTTCTTGAAGAGGAAGTTCTTTTGGCCATGCCCACAGATTCTCCCTGGGTAGCTGAATTCTTTAGCCCCTTTTTCTGGTATTCCAGGGGTTTTAATTACCAGGGCAACAGACAAAAGCAAGATTTGGGTCGGAGAGAGCAGTGTCCCTTTCTTGTGAAAAGTTTCTAAGAGCACTGGCTGGCCACAGGAGAGTTCTCAGGCACAACAGCTTTGGGGAAAATACCTATGGAGTTGAAAGCTACTCCTTGGCTCCTCTGGAGCTATTCCTGCCCCGCTCTCCCCCACCCGACTCCCAGGGTGAAGATGGCTGCTCGGAGAGCACACAGTCTGGGGAGAAAAAAGACAGACGATCAAGTCACAGCACAGTGTGAACGAGTGGGGGGGGGGGGGGGGAGGGGCGGTGCCTGATCTTCACGGGGCCCTGAACCCTGGTGGACACAGAATACAGGAAGATAGAACAACCTGTGTGTGAAGGCAGGAGCCGCCCCAGACACATCACCTACTATAACAGCGCATCTGGGTGTGGTCCTCAGGTCTGAATACTGTGGGTCAGAGATGCAACTACACCAGGTCACCAGTCTGTGAGATGTTTAAAAGCCTGACCTAAAAGAAACAGGCTGCAAACAAATAAAAAATGTAAACTCTGACACCAGAGCAGTCCAAAGACAGGCTGTTACTGCTGCGCCACACACACAGCCAACCTCCCGACAGGTCCCTCGTCAGTGGCGCTGCAATGATTTCCAGTCTTTGTAAAAAGGAGAGATGATCCAATCAGGGAGGTATTTCCACAGGAAGGAAGTGACAGTTAGCGGCTAACAAACCACCTCGGCCTTTCTTCAGAAGCAGGGGCCCGTTGTCATCACCCACTGGGGCTGACAGGACCGGTAAGTAAGTGCTCAGAAAGGGAACTCAAATTCTCCAAAAAAAGTGACCCGCTTACATGCACAAGTGGCACAGAAAGTAAGGGCTGTTGGCATCAAAAATAAAGTAATGATTTGGAATTACTATAGTGGCAACATGAATATTTCAAAAATGTTTGCAAATACCCCCCAAAATTAGTTATTTAAGTCTTAAAACCACCATTCCTGGGCGTAAACAGTTCAGAAAGTTCTGGCCATCACCAGCTTCGTGTGCAAACTGATGGCGGCAGTGAGAGTCGGCCTGACTGGTAGGGACGAGGTGACGAGCCCTCCCGGAGCCTGGCTTTGGGCCTGCAGGCCACCCGCACAGCGACTCTCAATAGACACTCTGGTTCACACTTCACAGATGAGCAACCAGCTCAGAAATGAGGCCGCTCCCAGTCACAGGAAGTGAGAGCTGTGTGCTGGGTGCCACTCTCCTGGGTGAGCCTGCAGCCTAGCTCTGTGTGCAGTGACAGCCCTCCATCTTTATTAGCAGCAAAGAGTTCGTTAATTTTAATTACCAAAACAGCATGACACAACTGTGAAAACATCCCATCTGGGTGCCTTCCCTCCCAGTGTATACCCACACCTACAAATTAGTTACCCAGTTACAGCCAATGAGCTGCTGCTTCTCTCCTCACTGGGTCCTGTCCTCACACTGCTCGCCTTCACACCCATGCACCCAGCTGGGAGATGCACTTGCACTGGGTCCTGTTCTCACACTGCTCGCCTTCACACCCAGTCGACTCACATCTCTGGCCTGTCGCCCTGCCCCACTGCGTGACTACAACTTGTGCCCCATCTCCTTGGACTGCCTGGGCTCCTCCCCAGTGGGGCTGCTCCTCCTTTTCCTCTTCTTCAAAACACCCTCCAATTTTTCCACCCCATCCCCTCCCCCACCACCTACCACCATCATTTGCAAAAGCATTTCACAAATTTCAGGCATTTCCCTGCCACATTACTGTCAGTATTTTAGCATTTTTCTTTAAATCTACCCATTGTTTCTATTTAAATTTACTTTAAAAGTTAATTTTATATTCCTGTTATAAATTAAGGAACAGCATCCCTTACAATAAATATAAAATAAGTATAAAAATGCAGAGACCACAAAACAGTCCCAATGGAGCCTGCCTGCCACAGCTCTGAGCGCAGGTCCTCTCTCTGAGGAGCTCGAGGGTCAGAGGCACTAGATCGCACGGGGGCAAACAGAGACTTTCTCCTCCAGCCAGCAGACGCCTGAAGGAGCAACGACTGGGAGTTACTTCTTCTGATGCCGTTTGCTGTCCTGTCCGGGACCGCCCCACACCGGCCCCCCTCCCACCACAGGCAGGTCCCGTCCAGTTCTCTGGGCAGGTCTGACTGAGGAGAAACAGGCCCTGCCTTCAGGGCCTGGAGCAAACACCTCCTCCTCCTAAAGCCAATTCTCATCAGCTCGGTCCACAGGAAGTCCTCTGGCCCCTGACCTTAATGGCGTCTTTACCATCAGTTCGGTGCCTGGCCTCAAGCAACAAGGTAGAATGGGCCTTTCCAGGGAACATATGCTCCTGCAGGACTTGTCTCCAAGAGCACAGAGACTGTCACCACGGCCTTGTTCCCCTTGGACACCTGTTCACACTGTTAATTAGGAGATGGCGTAATTACATTCAGGAATTTACTTTCTGACCTTTTTTTGTAAAAGTTTAATGAGACAGATTCTAAATTATCCAATGGCTTTACTCATAATCACCCCACAATAACTTCCTACCAATGACCTTTTGCTTGTCTTTGCATTCCAAATAAATAAAATCATCAGTGTGTCCTCCTCCACATCTGGCTTCTTTAAGAGAGGGATCACCTGGCCTACCTTAAAGGTGCCTGTGGCTTCCCACTGCTCCTGCGTGGCTGCCTGGGCCCTAGGTGGTGTGAGCCCTGCCTGACCCTCCAATCTCATCCACTTCTCTCCGTCCCCATCCTCCACCACTTTCTGCTCCTTAAACCAGCAAAGACCTCTACCATTTCTGAGCTTTTGCTCCAACTTTGCTTGGCTGCCTCCTTTGCACCGATCCCTCTGACTAAGATTCCGGGAAGGACCCTCCAGGCTGGCAGGGCAGAGGGAACACACACAGGACAGGAGGGGCTCTCAGGCAGCGGCCCAGTGCGCTGAGCTGGCAGGCAGCAGGGACATGGAAGTGCAGACCCAACTTCCAGCAGTGACAAGCTATGGGAGGGGTGTAAACAGAGAAACACTAAATAGATCCACGCTTCAGAAAGAAGTGGAGGATATGGAAATCACAAGTGGGGGGAGGACCCCACACCATCTGTTTCCTCATCCACCGAGTAGAACAACTGACTTGTTCCAACAACTCACTGTGTGACAGACTTCTGCTCTTATCTCCTTCAAGGCTCGTTCAGAAAACACGCAGCCACAGCATCGCAGGAAGCAAAACCTGGGGGAAAAATTCAATATGGAGAATGACTTACATGATAATTTAAAAATATTACCCACATTATCAATGAACATGTGTTCAGTTTACACAAAGACCAAGAATCACAAAGAAAAATGGTTCCATTTGATTATATTTATATATAAATGTAATTTTATATTTAAATGATTTTATATTTATATAATATAAAAATATATAAATATAAGTTTTATTCCTCTAAAAACACCACAACAGAAGGTTTTCCAGTTTCCATGGGGTTATAGCAGCTGCAGGCTGCCCTAACAAAAACCTGATTCATAACACTGTACTAAGTTCATTAAAATAATCCTATTTTTAAAAAAACTCATGTATACTAATTATTAGTAATTGAGGAATTTTTTTTTCTTTAAACAGAGGCTCAATTGTTTATTATAATACTAATTCATTTATATTTTTCTATATATTTAAATCTTTATTATACGAACTTTACTAAACAGACAGACAAACCAACTTTCTTGTGCGAAAGCCCTAACAGGAGGGAAGAGCCAAACAAGGGAAGCCCAATTACCTGGGAAGAGAGAGAGGAAGGCAAAGGAAGGGAAAAACTGGGAGAAGCCACAACCAGAGCAACAGCTCCCGGTAATCCCTGCCCGAGACCCTGCAGCTGCCTTTGCTTCTTCGAAGTTCCTCTTTTGGGGTGAACCATGGCTTTCTTAAAAAGAAGTGGGGAGCTAGACACGAAAGGTTACACACTCTATGCTTCTATATTTATACTAGAGGCCCAAAGCACATAAGAGTAGGTCTTCACAGCCCTGGCTGGACGGTTGTTCTGCTGTTCGGCCATTCGGCTTATTTGCATATTATGCTTTTATTATTATAGATGAAATATCCAGATCAGGTAAAACCATTGAGACAAAAGCTGATGTGTGGTTGCCAGGGGCTGAGGGGAGGGGATTAGGTACACGAGTCTGGCTCCCGAATAGTTCCTACTTGATCCGAATGGTGAACATTAGCTTTTGTTTCATTATTTTCCAGCTTTATTTAGGTGTAATTGAGGACTAGGAATCGTGCATATTTAAGGTGTACAACCTGACGATCAGATGCACGTCTACACTGCGCAAGGATCAGCACAGTCAGGCTGAGTAACAACCATTATGTTCTGAAGTTTGAGAGTGAGGGAGGCCGCAATGACTTAAATCCATACGACTTGAAGAAGAACAGAATCCTAGGCTATTCCATCTCAGCAGTGCTGATGCTCTCTGGCATAGCTGGCCATACACAGCACATATATCTGTTAGAGGAATGTATACAAATGTGCCAGGAAGCCCCAGACGAAATGTGGTTGTTTACAGCTCAGTAAAAACTGTCACTTACTTAAGATGCTTTCTCCCCGTTTCCTGAATAAAAGTAGTAAAAATTACTATCTTTCAACATGTATTGTGTTGGATGGAAGATTCCATCTAGACAACCAGCTTTTGGAAATATTTCTAAATGGTGGGAAGAGTTTAGAGCTTTGGCTTAGAGACTTCCCTACACAAAGACACCTACTAATTCATTCAACAGTCATATTTTTTAAGGGAGAAATACACAGGGCACTTACATTTTCATTATAAATCTCAACCTTAAGATTTCTGGTGCTTTAGCCAAAGGATCTTTGGCTACAAATTCAAATCAAATAATTATCAGCTGAGCCGTCAACTGACCAACCAACCACATGTTCTGTAACACTGTATCCATTGCATAATTTTTAGCAATGACAACGAAATGGGATGTTTGATAGGAAACATCTGCCCTTTGCTTTCTTTCCCATAGGAAGAGATCAGATAATCCAACCCAAGTCTCATAAGCATCACGAGCCCTAGATGGTTTGGCTCAGTGGATAGAGTATTGGCCTGTGGACTGAAGAGTCCCAGGTTCGATTCCTATTAAGGGCACATGCCTGGGTTGCGGGCTCACTACCCAGTAGGGGGTGTGCAGGAGACAGCTGATCAATGATTCTCATCATTGACATTTCTATCTCTCTCTCCCTTCCTCTCTGAAATCAATAAAAATGTTTTTGTTTTTTTTTAAGCATCAGGAGAGAAATGTTTAAAATCCCTCTTTACTGCAAGTTTTCCTGCTCTTGAGAACAGAAGGCCACAGACAACAGGGTGAGTGCACTAGGACGCCCCATTAGTGGACTTGGCTAACAGGGCACGAACCATCCAAACTGAAGAGCACCTTACAGAAGTCTGTGATTACCAGGCTCCGGACAAACCCTACAGCACCAGTGTTACCTAAGCAGACTGACCTGTGCCGGCCATTCATCTCCAAGCCCACGACCGGGCAGATGAAACGTGCGCGCTGGAGGTCATCGTGCTTGTCTCCTTTTGTGTTTCCTTTATCCCCTTCCCACGCGGGATTGTCAGAAAGCCTTAGCTCTGTCACGTTCTGTGAAAAGCCATCCAGATTTTAAGAATTCATTTGATAAGTGGATTACCCTTCCCTTAATAATCACCTAAATCAACAGAGAAATTGTTATTCTAGTCCCTTCCCATTCAAACCTCTTCATCCTACCTCCTTTCCTGTGGCCATCAATTAACACGGCTATAAAATTAAATAATAAATTGTGATAGAAAAGACGATTTTTAAAATTCACCAACTAGCAAATAAGTTAGTTAATTTCTATTTCACAAACATTTTCTATTTAAGGAAACATAACTTCTGACATGCAAAATTACTCTACTAAGAGAAAGCTATAATAATTTCATCCAGAGAGGAAGACTCTTTTCCCTGCTCACGAATCCTCACTGAGGCTATTCCGTATTTCTGATTACCTATGTTTATTCCATAGCCGGGGAGACAGTAAAATCTGAGGCCATGGTCTAATGAATCCACAGCACACTATTAGTCAGAGACTATGATCATATTCCAAGACCCAGCCATTCAGGTTTTCAAAAAATTGAACTTTACAAGGAGTGACTTAGTCAAATTTTAGCACTGAAGGCATTTTCCACATTTAACTGCAGCACTAATTTCAACCCTCTGGAGCACCTCAGCAGGAAAGCCACCATGCAGTCAGCTTCCTGGTTTATAGCAGAGATGTGTCCCATCAAGTTCTCTGCGCTGGGTATTTGTGGACTATTGGCTGACAGTAATGATAATCTTGTATGTCTGCATTTCTTTATTTAAATCATTTTGTCTTTACAGTTCAGACTTTTGGAAGAGAGTTTTTTGTTTGTTTTTGGTGGCATTAAAATAAAAAGCTCAAGCTCAAGCACATACATTGAATACTGGTTTAGGTATAGAATTTTATAAATAAATTTCAATGAGAATCACATTTTTGAAGTAATTACATTATCATGGGTTTCCTGATACTCTTCCCAAGGCAAAAAATGACAAAAATCAGCATGGTTATTTCTACATCACTAAAATTAGCTACATTTCAAAATTACTAATTTGCCTGAAATAAACATATCCTGTATTCTGTAATCATCCCAAGAATTCAAACAAAAAGCCTACTATAATAATAAACATTTAAAAAGAAAAAAGAAATAAAAGAAAATACCCAAAGTCTTTGATGAGGGAGGGGCTCTGGTCCTGGTTTAGCATCAATGACTGGCCATGTGGCCTCAGGAGGTATTTATATTGAGAGCGAGACCAAGTGTTTGACAGCTAGATGGTTCTCAAATTCTTCGCTACTTTTCTAATTTTTCTCACATTGACCAAATTTGAAAATTTTGTCCTCTCAACAAACTTCCTTTACTACAAACCTTGTTTTTCTACTATCATGAAAGAATTTTAACTGCCAATCAGCACTTCTAGTCAGCAAGAGATAACCACAATGACTCAACAGTGGTCTACCTATAAAATCCTCTTATTCTGCCCTAGCTGGTTTGACTCAATGGATAGAGCGTCAGCCTGTGGACTGAGAGGTCCCAGGTTCGATTCTGGCCAAAGGCACATACATGCCTGGGTTGCAGGCAGCCAATCAACAATTCTCTCTCATCACCGATGTTTCTATTGCTCCCTGTCCTTTCCTCTCTGAAATCAATAAAATATACTTAAAAAAAAAAAAAGGAAGAAAAAATTCTCTAATTCTATAAAAGGATCTTTCAAATAAAAAAATCAGGGTGCCCCTGAGCCTTCGACCGCTGAGCGTGGGCAATGGAGCCAAGGCCGGGGGCTGCTTCCTGGGCGGCGCCATCCCAAGCAACAGGCTGAAGCAGCGCAGGAGCCTGCGGAGAACAAAGGGGTGCCACAGGCCAACCTGATGAGCTCCCAGGACAAGGAGGAAGAAACCAAAGAAGATCTCAATGTGAAGAAATCAAGTGAGAGCAAAAGATAGTAAAATTACTTAAGAAAGAATACAAAGAAGTTCTTGAAAAATCAAAGACTAAGTCAGAACTCAACTCACCAGCCAACATTGCAACATAAATGCGTTTTAAAAAAAAAAAAAGAAAAAAAAGGTCAGAATGTTGGAACAGCGGTGGCCAGGCCTAGAGTGGCCAGGCACAAGGCAGTGGCAGCCAGGCCCGGAGCAACAACGGCCAGGCCCCAGAGCAGCAGCAGCCAGAACCAGAGCATCAACAGCCAGCACTGGAGCAGCCAGACCTGGGGCAGTGGCAGCCAGGCCTGAGGCGGAGGCGGCCAAGCCCAGGGTGGCCAGTCCAGGAACACCCAGACCCGGAAAAGCTGGGCCCAGAGCAGCCGGGGTGGGAGCAACCAGACCCAGAACAGCAGTAGCCAAGCCCAGAGCATCCAGGTCGGGGGTGGTCAGGCTCGGAGCGGCCGGGCCCGGGGCAGCCGGGCCCAGAGCAGCGGCTGCCAGGCTGGGAGCGGCCAGGCCCGGAGCAGCCGGGTCAGGTGTGGCCAGGCCTGGAGCAGCGGCTGCCAGGCTGGGAGCGGCCAGGCCCGGGGGAGCAGCTGGGTTGGGTGTGGCCAGGCCCGGAGCAGCGGCTGCCAGGCTGGGAGCGGCCAGGCCCGGGGGAGCAGCCGGGTCGGGTGCGGCCAGGCTCGGAGCAGCGGCTGCCAGGCTGGGAGCGGCCAGGCCCGGGGGAACAGCCGGGGCTGGTGTGGCCAGGCCCGGAGCAGTGGCTGCCAGGCTGGGAGTGGCCAGGCCCGGAGCAGCCAGGTCGGGTGCGGCCAGGCCTGGAGCAGCGGCTGCCAGGCTGGGAGCGGCCAGGCCCGGAGCAGCAGCAGCCAAGTCCAGAGCAACTAGGTCGGGAGCGGCAGTGACCAGATCCGGAGCAGCTGGTTGTGGAACGAACCAGAGCAACAGAGGCCAGGCCCTGAGCAGCCAGGCCCGGAACAGCTCGCTCCTCGCCTACCCCTGCCCCACGGCTGCCTCTCAGACATGGCTGGAAACTTTCGCGGGAACTTGAGGGTCTGCTGAATCAAGTGATGAAGGCTTAGATCTGGATGTGTTGAGTTAGTATAGGGCTGGGGTGTTGATCTGTGAGTGCCTTGGGTGGGGCCTGGATGAGGCTAGTTGACCTATTGGGAAATGTCTTTTGTGTGAAGTGACCTATTGGGAAATGTCTTTTGTGTGAAGTGTATCATTGGGCATGTGGAGGTATTATTGATATGAGAAAATGCTAAGTAACTGATTTACTATCTGAAAAGGGATTTACTATTGGGGAAAGGGAGGGAAGAAGAGACTGAACATGAACTGTGCACCTATGGATGAGGACAATGGGGGATGGGGAGGGGATGGAGGGTGGGGTGGGAACCTGGTGGAGGGGGGAAGAAATGAGGAACCTTTGTGATAATATGAACAATAAAGATTGATTTAAAAAAAAAATACAAAAAAAAAAAAATCAGTAGCTGAGTTTTAACTACAAAAAGAAGGCTTCCCGATGTTTATACAGCACATTGAGAGATTTTTAAAAATAATTTTGTTTTTTTGTTAATCCTCACGCAAAGATATTTTCCCATTGATTTTTAGGAAGAGTAGAAGAGAGAGGGAAAGACAGAGAGAAACACTGATGTAAGAGAAACACAATGATTAGCTGCCTCCTGCATGTGCCCCAACCAGGGCCCAGGCTGGGGAGAAGCCTTCCACCAAGGTACGTACCCTTGACCGGAAGTGAACCCAGGATCTTTTGTTCCGTATGCTGATACTCTATCCACTGGGCCAATCCGGCCAGGGCACAGTGAGAGCTTTCAAAGCTCTCTCATGCACATTAAATCATAATAGATTTATAATGTAGAAAGTACAGGTGTGGAACCTTCCGGCTTAAGCTTTAAGTGACCACCCAAAATCACACCTTTATTAGCTGGCTGGGTGGGACTGAAATTCCAAATATTTGAGTTCAGTCTATAACATACATGAATTCTATAAGATAAACCTTATCCACTGAAACTCTTGGAGCACCTCAGAATCACCTTTGTTACCTTAATGTTTTTAATGTGAGATGCTGCCTTCGCAAGAGCCTTTTCGGAAGATTTGTCCAGTAGAAACTCAATGACAGCATCTTTGTTATAAAGTCTGCAACAATAAAGATTAGTCAAAACATTCTGGCACATTAACCTTTATATAAAGGACAAAGACTAAATTGAGTAAAATCCAAAGTCATTTTACATATGATAACAGAAATGTCCAACCTTACTCAAAAAGTAAATTTAATCCTCTCTCAACTATTTCCAAAGCATACAAAGAAAGAAACTAGTTTAAAGTCAAGGACTCAAATGGGCAGTCTGAGGGATGAATGTGAACTCAACAGGATTTCAAAAATTGGGAAATTTAATATAAAAGTACATATTTTCAGCTTTTCCTGGATGAAAACATAAATCAGAAGTTCTAGAACCACTAGGCTCACATTCTTGAACTGCAATGGGCTGGAACAGAGTAGCAGCTCCCCCTTTAGATGAGACGTGAACTCTCCAGGTTCCCCTAGTTCCCACCATTCCCTAATTCCCCACATGGCTCCTCCATGCATTTATGTTTATAACTCAGCTCCTATTAATCTCCGCATCTCCAATCCATGGATTAAGTAAACCAAAATGAACAGGTTTGTACAGAATTATGTTCACATAATAACCTAGGTTTCACAAATTTGCTTGTGATGATTCACATTTGATGAATCAAGAATTGCATTTACACATTAAAATTCTTTTAAAAATCATTTAATAAAAACTCATCACTATTAAGGAACCATACCTGCCAAGTTCACAGGCAACTATTGGTCGCCTTAATATTTCTTGACTTAGAGCACAATAGTTCCATAGGGCCACCAGTTCAGCATCTTTGTCAACCTACAAAAATAAAAATAAAAATCTTTTAAATTAATTTTCACCTCTGAAAGACATGGTCTACCAATCAACACATAAAGGCTTATTCAGTAATATCACACTATGATGAATTTTGGTTTTCACAAAGATAATGACACAAAAGTTGGGATTTAAAAAGTCACAGTAATCAATACTATGTGAAATGAAGTCCCCTGTAAGCATGACACCTATGACAAAACAGTTTATCTCGAGTCATTAAATTGCCTATGTAAGCTATATATAAATATTAATATTTGTATCTTAACAGTAAGTTAGGGAAGCCATGCAGAAAAAGCAAACAGTCTAGTTTAATTTCTAACAATGGAAAAGGCTCCAAAGTTTTAGCAGAATGGAAGGATGGAACATTGAGAAGATGGGAATTATTATTTAAAAATTTAGCACAAAGATTATTTAATTCTGTATAAAATCACCAACTTAACGGAAGTGTTTTTTTTTTCCAAACTGTTTACTAGGAGGCATATCAAATCCTTAAGCACAGTATGAAAATGCAAATGTAAGACCATAATCTTCTAATGATACTTTATCTATATAATATACCGTGTCCCACTCCCCACCCCCCCCAAAAAAAAGCCAAACCTGAATACTGTAACGTAACAAAATGGCACATTTGGAAGAAAATGGAAATAGAAAAATAAAAACATTCCCTTAAAGCTGATTTTTTTTTTGAAGCAACAACTGCGTCTGCTTGTGCTAATCGGTTTCTGTAACTTAATCTTTTAATCCTCATAAAAACCCTATGATTCAGTATTTTCACCTTTGTTCTTGAGGAAAGTGAGGCAACAAAAGGTCACAGCAAAAAGATGAAGGCACTAGGATAAGAGCAGGCTGGCTCCAGAGATCATGCTATAAACACCACTCTCTATTATTTCAAATAAAAACAAACCAAACCCACATTCCTGCAAGTGTTACTCTACCCATTCCCCAGATCCGAAGCTGCACGTTAGCAATTTAAATAGCTTTTATCAGAATTCAATCTGTAGTAGAGCCCAAGTCAAACACTGCCTGAGCCTTCTATTATCAAAAAACAATGACTAGGCCTAACTTTGAAATCCTGAGCAAGTGAATGGGAATCTTGGTTTCATCACCTATGGGATGTGAAATCTTGGTCATGTTACTGACTCAATTTCCCTGTCAGTAGCATGGAAATGACATATAATTTGATCAATTACCTGTGAGAATTAGAAATTCATTATATTGATTTTAGTGTGCTAGGAACTGGGCTACTTACAGAGCGGGAAAAGGGACAGACTGCCACGGGGGGCTTACTGTCCCCAGATCGACACCAACCAGGGGGGCGGCATCGTTTTAAGAGAAGGACCTGCTCTCACGGGGATAAAGGGTCGTTCCCTGAGAAATGGTGTTAGTGCACACAAAGCCCGGTAAACAGCACCCATTTGTATCGCTGTTTCTACGGCAGGCAGGCTTCAAATCCTGCCGCTGTCACTAGCGTGGCAACTTTCTCCTTTTCACTCTCAATTTCCATGCCCACAAAGTGAGGATGATGACAGTACGTACCGAAGTGAGAATTGGAAGAGACACCCCATATTAAGGGTACTTCCGGGTGAATGACAATAGCAAGCACTCAATAAAGGCCCGTTATTAATACTGATTTAATTTTAAGTTCTCCGCAAGGGATAAATGAGCGCAGCTTCGTCTGCCCCACCCCCACCTCTCTTCGCTCCCTGGGGGCCCCGCCACCCCCAGTTTCCCTCGATCCCACGTCACTGACCTTCTCAACCTTCTTAGGCCCCTTCACCAGTTCGTGCCTCTTGGGGATTGTACCCCCGTCGCAACCCATCGCAAGCCGGGTGTCAGAGTCAACAACACTCCCCGACAGAGCCAATTTCCGTAGTCTTAGGTGATTGTGGGAGTCACTTCCGGCGCACCATTATGACGCAACACGCCCGCCTTGACGCAGCGGGGCGGGGCCGCTGCCAAGTCTCGGTTGCCATAGAGAGCGTCGCTAGGCGCTGGGCGTGGCCCCGCAGCGTGGGCTGCTTAAGGCTGGCTGGTCCTGGAGCGCGAAGTGGGGTGCTCCGTGTTTCCCCCACTCCCGCCGCCCGCCCCTTCCTCTTTGTGGTGGGCGCTGGGTTTCTGCTGCAGCCTCGTGATCGCTCGCCCTCGCCCTCGCCCGGGGGCGCGGCGGACTGGAGCACCCTGCTCTTGGCTCCTGTCCCTCTCCAGCCTGTGTGTGCATCTGGGAGCGCCTGGCGGAACAGCTGCTTTTTATTACTGCAATTAGTGATGCATATGAATGCTATCTATTATTCAGTTTATTAAGGTGACCAGCGGGACGGTACCGACTTTTAGCAATTTGTCCCGACTTTTTTAAAACGCCGCGGAACGCGGGACAAATTGTTAAAAATTGGGACGTCTGGTCACCTTAGTTTACATGTATCTGTTTAAAAAAAAAAAAAAAAAGGCATCTTTGTTGAGCACCAACTCTAACCTAAGCACTCATAGCAAATCCTGTGAAATTATGTTATAGGTGATTCTGGGGATAAAGATCCTTTATCTAAAGCCTGGAACTTTCTGATAGTCTCATGCATATTGTATATATATATATGTGTGTGTGTGTGTGTTGTGTGTGTGTAATTATACATATAAACACACACTTTGTGTACAGTTTGGATACATATGATTTTCATTCACAGCCTCCTGAAGACTGAAAAAAATACTTTTACTTATTAAAAGGAAGGTAGAGTTACAGATCAAATTATGAAAGTTACACTAATGTTTAAATGCCCTTTCCTGAGACCGATATCACTGACCATGAACACTATGTACAGGGGGTAATACAGTATTTCCAAGAGACAGGTTGCACTGTATAAGGAGAATTCAAATCCCTTACAAAATCCCTGCTGACATTCATGATTGTTAGCTCTTGAGCTTTGGGATTGTCTGCTCTCATGCTCTGGACCGTCTCTATTTGTCCCATTAGTTGTAACTACTAGGAAAAAGCTTGCCCACTGCAATGGGGAGGACAGGTACAATTGGATGTTATCATGTTAACCAAGGTGAAATATCCAAACTGCTGAAACCATTCTCCACTTGGGAACAGAAAATATGTGCACATGAAAACTTTCAGGGCTATAAGATGGTGTTCTGTCACTGAAACTAATGGGAATGAAAATAAAATAAATCCTTTACTTTTTACAGAGAAGAACGTAGAGGGAAAGAGAGTGAGAAACATCTATGAGAGAGAAACATTGATCATCTGCTTCCTGACACCTCCTACTGGGGATGTGCCCGCAACCAAGTACATGCCCTTCACTGGAATCCAACCAGGGACCTTTTAGTTTGCAGGCCAATGCTCTATCCATTGAGCCAAACTGGTCTGGGCTAAACTAAACCCTTGAATCAGTTGTTCTCTCATTGGCTTGCGGCTTGTTTTTATGCCAACACAAGAATTGTAAAGACCATGCGGGTAGGAACTTTGTCATATTCCCTGTTTTGTCCTCAGCACCTAGAAGAGTCTCTGGCAGACTCAATAGTCATTTCCTCCACAAACCAAAACAAAGTACAGAATCATTCAGAGAGGAGCGACACTCAGTTATGGCTGCCCTGAAACTGGTAAGTACTGTTCAAATCCCGTCTGCAGGTGAGGGAACAGATGCCTGGAAAGGTCACATGCCTCCTTTAAGGTCACACAGCTACCCTGTTTCCACGAAAATAAGACAGTGTCTTATATTAATTTTTTCTCCCAAAGTTGTGCTAGGTCTTATTTTCAGGGGATGCCTTATTTTTCCATGAGTTAGGTCTTATTTTCTGAGGATGTCTTATTTTCGGGGAAACACGGGTAGTAGGTGAGAGCTGGGAATGGGTTCCACAATTTTCTGTTGCTCCCAATGGGACAGAAAAATCAGACACAGCAGAGAATAAGCTCAAGGATCTCTAGACAGATTCTTAAACCAGTGATTTTTTGGGGAACTAAACCAGGCCCTCACCGAGTTCTTTTGGGGAAGAAAAATAAAAAGAGCTGCTCTTTATAGGACCATGCCCTGGCTATGTGGGGGTGCCCTTTCCTTCTGGGTTCACAGCCATGTCAGGAGGTAGGGGCTAAAATGCCTTCTTTTTCTTAATGACACACCCAAGACTCGGGTGTATAAAGTGTCCTAGGGCCAGGGCCACACAGCAGTCACAGGTAGCAGTGTGAAGCAGTCACGGGTGATGGGGCTTTCTTGAATGAGTCCCATCTAACGAAGGACCAAGGCCATGTTCCTCCTCTCCCCGCCATTTTATTTATTTAAAAAATATCTATATTAATTAAGGTGTCACATATTTGTCCTCAACCCCCCATTCCAATCCCCCACTCCCCCCTCATGTCCCCACCCCCCTATTGTCCTTGACCACTGGTTAGGCTCATATGTGTGCACATAAGTCTTTTGGTTGATCTCTCTCTTTTATCCCCACCCTTTTTTTTGAGCTCCAACAGTCTGACCCATGGCTCCTTATCTCTGGGTCTGTTCTTGTTCATTGTCTGTGTTGTTCACCATTTCCCCTAGATGAGTGAGATCATGTCCTACTGGAAATATACTTATAAGACTCAAAAATGAGACAAGCAATAATTGTTATGCTGAAAAGCATATGAATCAGTCTGTGGTGAGTTTCTTTCTGGGCCACCAGTTCTTTTGAGACCCAATTTCAATGTCAAACAGTTCCTTATGTGTACATGTCAGCAATGATATTTCAGTTCTGGATGGTGGGCAAATGGTGGTGATTTCCTGTTGTGAGATTTTATCCTGAGACCAACTACCAATAAAAATTTTAGTTAACACTTTAAGAATAGCTTTTTGTCCGGTGCATTTAGTTTTTCTAGTATATTTGCTTATTTCAATTAGCCAATTTAAATTAGCCTGAAAACTTATCTACTATTTTACTGTCAAATTTATTACTCTAAAACAATCTTATTTTACCATATAAATATTAGGGGAAAGGATTATTTGCCTACTTGAGTAGGCCCTGAGCATTCCTGGTGGTAGGCTGGATTTAGATATAAAAAACCACTTCCCCACACCATGTTTACAAGACAACTCAAACAAGTCATGTTGTAGTGTGAGGGCAGCTGCTGTCAGCCAAGTCTCTGTCTTTTACCCGGGTCCCGATTTGAGCTGGGCATGGGAAGTTAAGCAGGCATGGGAGCAGGAGACTCCCTCAGCAGGGATGAGGTTTCAGGCCCCTGCAAAGTTTTGGGGGTGAGGGTCTGTGCCCCATCTCTCCTGATGGCCCCTCTTCGACTGTGCCTGCCTTAGGTTGTTTCTTCCCTGAGGAATCTTATCCATAACTGGCTAACCAACCATCCTCTGGGGCCAAACAGGGTGATGTGAGGTTCAGTTCTGTCTCCTTGGTATCCTATGCCCCAGTAGGGCCATGTTCCTTGACCTCTGCCCCAGCAGTGCTAGGGACAGTCATCGGGACTGCCTGTGTGGGCCCTGAGGGCGGCAGTTCAGTTAAATGTTTTTTTGTTCTTCCTTCTTGGTTTCCCCTTTTAAAACATTGGTCTCTAGGCAACTCTGTGCCACAGATGATACACAGCTAACACGTCTGGATGATTTATTACCATCGAAAGCAACTGCTTCGCATGGAGGGCAGCTGTGTGCCAGGATCATTTTGCCTGTTTCAATTTTGTTTGATCCATTTGCCCTGCCCTTGCCTGCGCTTCTCTCTGCTGTCTTTGTTGAGTGATCTAATAATGGCCATTATTTTACAAGGAGCCTTGGTGACAATGTTGCCCCAGTCCAGCTGTGGATTTGAAGGATGGGAAGAGGAAGGAAACCATGAAATTAAAGAGAAAAGCATTGTTCTTGAGCAAACCAGTATTTCTTAACATCTTGGGGGGGGGGGGGGTTTGTGTGTCACTGGACCTGTTGGAGACTGTGATGAAAACTTCAGACTTATTCCCCACCCCCCGCCCCCCGGCCCCGTCCAAATACCCATGAGTACCTAGGAAACTTTGCTACAGTTTATACATGTATGTATTTCATTCACAGGCTCCCAGGGGCTAGGCTAAGAACCCAGTGCTTAAAATGCGTCTACTCTGATCGGGTAGCTCAGTTGGTCAGAGTGTCGTCCCTATGCTCCAAGGTTACGGGTTTCATCCCCAGTCAGGACACATACAAAAATCAATCAGTGAATGCATAAATAAGTGAAACAACAAATCCATGTTCCTCACTCTAGCTCTTGATCTTTCAAATCAATTAATGAGAGAGAGAGAGAGAGAGAGAGAGAGAGAGAGAGAGAGAGAGAGAGAGAAAGAGAGAGAGAGAGATACTTCTACTGCCTGTTAACAGTAGTTTCCCAACTATTTCAGGCTATTTCCTGTTGGCTCTGCCCCTATGCTCTTCCATAGTGGCAGTTTAAAATTCTGTCTGGAAAAAGCCAACATGCAGAGTAATTCATTTTAAGAGTTAGCATAAAAAACAACAATTAGGGGTTGGGATTCTTTAAGAATTTCACAACCATCTTCTTAGGAGGATGTCCCAAAGAGGTTGAAAGGAAAATGAAATGGAAAATTGAGGTGATTACTGAGATAATTCAAGACAAAATTAACTCTTTAAAAAATTTATTTATATTTATTTATTTATTTATTTATTTATTTATTTATTTATTCATTTATTTCAGAGAGGAAAGGAGGGGGAGAGAGAGATGGAAACATCAATGATGAGAGAGAATCACTGATCGGCTGTCTCCTGCATCCCCCACACTGGGGATAGAGCCAGCAACCCAGGTATTGAACCGTGACTTCCTAATTCATGGGTCAATGCTCAATCACTGAGCCATGCCAGCTGGGCCAAAATT